CAATTCCAACTTGGACCTCATGGTTCAACACAACATTGATTTGTATCACCTATGGCTATGTATGCAAGATGTTCAGCTCATTGAACCTATCCCGGATGCTACTGTCTGGAACTGAACTGCATCGGGCATTTATTCGGCCAAGTCGATCTATTCGACATAGTTGCGTCATGTTGCTACCTCTGCTTTGAAACATGGTGTGGAAGAATTAGGCGCCCCCGAAGCAAAAGTTTTTCGATTGGCTTATATTGCAAGACCAATTTTGGAAGGCCGGTAGTTTGTAGAGGAGAGGGTGGTCAAAATTGTGGCTTGTGTTAGCTTTGCAAGAGGTAGTCGGAGACGGACGCACACCTTATGTTCAAGTATCATGTCTTTGGGCACATTTGGGTGGATGTCAAAGCTTGGTTTGGGCTTGCCGACATCCACGGAATCTTGGTTACTCCTCCAACTGGTCATTGAGTGATGAGATTTCTTTGTCATGAGTAATGGCCGCACTCGGAAAGGAATTTCTTCACTTGTTATGCTTGTCTTGTGGGAAATTGGGAACAATCGGAACACGAGAGTTTTTAGGAATATATCCACCATGCAACCGATCACTCCAAGAATTGAAACCGGAGCAAATTTGTGCTGCTTAGCCTACCTGAATCATCTGAGCTTTTTCATGCCGAAAGAGTAGAGCATTCGTAATTTTGATTACTACTTATGTAATACTCTCTTCTTAATTAATGAGTTGATTGTTTAAAATCCAATTTTTTTGCTAAACTCGAGGAGGGTTCTCTAAATCAGACCACCATCGTCATGTCCTTCGCTGAGAGCAGTTAGGCTCCCCATGTAATTTATATGCAAACACTAAAAATTTGATGTAAGTTATTTGATGGCAATTTATATTTGACAGGATGATGAGAAATTTAGTTTAAAAGCATGACAATTTTTTGACAAAGAATAAACCAAGGCGGATTTATGATGCTCGCCAGCTAAACTTGCCATCCATGAAGAACATAATTTGCCATAAAAATATTCAGTTTGCCATGGTCAAAATTAGATGTCAGATTTGTAGTGCAGTTCTTTGCAAAAAAAAAGGTTTTGTAGTGCAGTCCAATTTATATTACTAGTTTGGGTAGAAAACTACAATATCATAACGATGCATGCAGATTATCAGTCGATTCTCTAAACCAACTGAACTGAATGTGTCTGTACCACAATAGAACATTTAAAGATGGAGGCTGCTACGCCTCGGTCGGCAGATCTTTTGAAAACACCCACCGCCACGCTAGTTGTTGGATATGGCACAATCCAGCGGCTCAACGCCTCCCTCTACTTCACAACCCAGATCTTGCCGCGGAACATTTGCAACAAAGGTTATGTTGCAGAATATATTTTTTGCAACTTATGTCTTGCAGGATTTTATTTGCAACAGAGTTCTTGTTGCGGATTTTTTTTTTCCGACGAAGGTTCTGTTGTTGCAGAGTTTTTTTTTTTTTTTGCAACAGAGCTGATGTTGTAAAAACTTGTTTAAGTTACAGACGTCGTTCACCGCTATAATTTGCAACACCGCAGCTGTCTCAAGATAAGGTAAGGGGGCACATGATAGGCGAGGGAAATAACGAGCGTGATTCAACGGCTGCGTGGATGGAGAAACTATCCGCGACCAGCCGGAAGAGCATTAGTTTTTTTTTCTGATATATATACATACTCATCGTCCTATAATATAAGAGCGTTTTTAACGCTTTACATTAAACATTGTCGAACCGTACACATGTCGCTCTTTTTTAAAAGATGCGAACGCGTGGTGTGCTCTTCGTGTCGATCAGCCAGAGAGCAGCACGCACGCGCAGTAAGCCAGCAAGCAGCATCGATGTGCCTAACTAACCACCTTGATTTGCATGCAAGAATTCCGTCACGGGCAGAGTGCCCGCGTCCGCGTCCTCCCAGGACGACGACCCACCTGCTCCTGCCAGCAGCACAGTGGCACACCTGTAGCAGTCCCAGTACCAGGTGTACCCCCTCTGTCCCCTCCCCCGGCGCGCGAGCGCCACGCGCGTACCAGCACCGCACGGCACCTGCCATCGCCATGTCCTCCTCCCCGGCAGGCCGGACGCGACACCATGACACCACCCCCGCGGGCCGCTCCAGTTCGTGCCGCTGCGGAGCGGCGGGCTGGCGTCCAGCCACCCCCCACCCTCCCGGTCACGACAAGCCGTTGGAGTCCAGCTCACGCGTGACAGTGCCCGGCACACACGTCGGACGCGCGCGGGATCCAGGTGGTTCGGCTTCCGCTTTCAGCCACGTTCCCGTTCCCGTCCCCGCGCACGCCGCGCTGGCCGGGCCGGGCCGGCAGGGTCGTACGTACGAGCGGCATGATGATGGCTCTTGCGCGCGCGGACTACGCAGCCACCACCGGAGCTGGCCACCGCTGCCGGCCCCTTGTCGATCCGCATCATGCCAAGGGCGCGCGCGCGCGCCGCGCGCGCGCCTCGTCGGTGGTGAGCGCGCGCGGACCGACACGTCGGTGGTGAGCGCGCGCGGGCCGACACGTCGTGCGGGGCGATATTTTGCGACACGCGCCCTGGCGCGCGCGGCGTTGTGTGTCGGGCCGGGGAATCCGAGCTGGTTGGGGGGGCCGAGAGCAAGAGAGAGCGGTGGGGCTCCGAGGCCAGCTAATGCGCATACACGGGTCTACGGCGCTCGATCGCCCAGGTGCCGAACGATCTTTCGCCCCCGCGCGTGGCACTGTCTTGCAGCCCATTGGCCAGCTGAATTCCGTGATTCCGACGCGGATACTGGGCCATAGATTCGATTCAATGGCACGCACGTCCGTGCAGCCAGACAAGTTAGCCATGGGTCTAATCAAATCATGACCCGGTCGTTTGGCAACGGGACAGTTGCCCAAAATAAACTTTAGCCTAGTGGTACGCCAAAAATTAAAGGAAGTGCGGCTTTGTTGTTCAAAGATGAAGAAAGAGTTTCTTTAAACGAAATCGGAGAGCGAAGCTTATCTTTTGCTCCAAAAAAAAGAACATGAGTATTCCCCATCTTTGTGTGTGTGTGGAGGGATCAATGAGTGTCAAGTGAAGAGGGGAACAATTGTATGGGCACGGCTATACCTCGCTTATAGCAAAGACGAAGGCAGCGTCGCTTGAATGCATACACCTAGTGGGCCAGCCCAATAGTAGGTCTGTACATTTCTCAATCTATTTCATTTTTTTCTCTCTCGTTATTCCTTTTTTATAATTCATAAAATTCTTACTTACATATATTTCACAAACGAATATTTAAGTTATGTTAATGATTATGCAGTACTAAAAAGTAGTACACTTTATGAAATGTTGATAGCATTAAAAAAGTTTCAACGCATATTCCAAAAAATTCAAAAAAATAGGTTTGTAAACAATATTAAACAAGTATTTGACAAAAGGTTAAATGAGTATAAAATAAAATTTCCATTCTACAACAAATGTAAGATGTGTATGAAAGAAAGTAGACATGAAAACAAGTATTTGAAAGAATGTTAATCATTGTATTTGAAAAAAAAATATGTATAGAAAAATGTTCTTCATGTATAAAAAATGTAAAATTTATATGAAAAAATTAGACATAAAAATTTATTTTAAAAAATTTAATCCTGCATTTAGAAAATGTTAACTATGTAGAAAAATAATGTTTCATATTTACAAGAAAATTATCATGGTCTAATTAATGAAATTGCCATGGTCTATAGTCTAAAAATTGATACTGCGATGCTATCAACACAACTACCACAGTCTAAATAACTAAATTGATATGGTACTACAATAGAACTACCATGGTGTAATTGATAAAAATTGTTGTGGGTAATAGAAAAAAAATGACATTGTCTAAATAATGAAATTGCATGCTACCTACAATAAAAATGCATACGGCAAGTTTGAAAAAATTTCTCCTCTAAAAACATGCCAACTTTGAGATTTTCTAATGGGTACATGCCCCCAAAAAAATGTGCATGGCAAGATTTGAAAAAAAATGTTGTCCAAAAATATGGCAAATGTGTTGATAATGTAATGGGCACATTGGACAATTTTGAATTTTCTTCTTTCAAAGATGGAAAATTTTAAGAATTTGAAGAATTTTTTTCAACCGAAATTTCAAAATGAAAATTGAATTCAAAACATTTTAGCTTCAAACATATAGCAAGTTTGACCAAATTTGTTGACAACAAAATTGTAGGTCGAATGATAAGCCCGGCCTTCCTTCATTCAGGAGATCATGATTTTGAACCACCACCGACGCACCTTTGCCATGATTTTTTTTTTTTGGTGGGGTGGGGATAAAGGAGAGAAGAAAATGGGGATGATGCATTCTGTAGGATGCAGTCAAGAGTGACCATTAGTTGTGCGTCAGATCCAAAGACTGGAACAACATTCACACCGAAACAGTAGAAAATCTGACGTACGCTAGCTACTTAACATCTCCGGCAAGTATTAGGCTCCTTAGAGTAGAGCATCTCCAACAAATAATGTACAATAGGGCAAGTGCCACAAAATCAATTTTTAGATATTTAGACCGAAAACACTGCTCCAGCAGATCATATTTCTATATGGTGTTGCCAAACAATTGAGGTAGCCCTATATTTATCCCCCAAGTGCTGCAAATATACACTAGCCGCGTGGTTGCCTTGAAATCCGCACGACCCAACCGCCAGGAAAAAACATCCCGCTCCATAGCCGTGGCCTCCGCGTGCCGACGCCACTCTCGATTTCGGCCATCATCACCGCACCGCCCATGCCGAATCCATCCATCACATCGACTAAATCGGCCATTGCACCACCCATTTGGCCGCCACCGCATCGGCCACAACTAATTCCGTCCACCCCTGCAACCACTACAGCGCCCGTGTCGGATCCACACCCCCACCGCCGCACCATCCCATTTGTTGGATTCATCGGCTCACCGCTCTTCGAGGGTGTTGCCCCACCGTTTTCCCTCGAGCAGCATGGGCTTCCGCGCGCGTTCGGCTCCGGAAGGCATCATGCAACGAGCAGCAGACGTGGCTCAACACTTATGACACGTCGGAGCTCGCCACCAGCGAGTACGACCTTGTGGCTTGGAGGTTCCGCCAACCGAGGTCCGACCTGAGCTTCCCCGATGTTCCAAGCGTCGCGGAGGCGGAATTCCTCGCTCCCGATGTGCAGTTTGTGTCCCGCAAAGAGAAGAAGGAAGACTGCCTAGTCGTGGAGTAGTACACCGCCCATGAGAGTGATGCGGTGGCTATGGCGAGGTTCTCCGAGGTCAATTCGCACACCTCATGGAGGAGGAACGCCAATTCTTCACCACGAGGAATGCGGGTTGCAAGAAGGATATGGAAATCAAGGAGGAGGATGTGGCTAGCCCCTCAAGAGACTAGTCGGAGCTCGCCATCTGCGTGTACCACCTTGTGGCTTGGAGCTTCCGCCAACTGAGGTCCGACCTGAGCTTCCCCGATGTTCCAAGTGTCGCAGAGGTGGAGTTCCTCGCTCCCGATGTGTAGTGTGTGTCCCGCAAAGAGAAGAAGGAAGACCGCCTAGTCGTGAAGTAGTACACCGCTGCCCATGAGAGTGATGCGGTGGCTATGGCGAGGTTCTCCGAGGTCAATTCGCATCTCATGGAGGAGGAGCCCCAATCCGTCCCCACGAGGAATGCGGATTGCAAGAAGGATAGGAAGATCAAGGAGGAGGATGTGGCAGGCCCTTCAAGAGTGATAAAGGTTCAGTTGGACGACGACGATGACTATGCCCTGTTTAATAGTGATCGAATGATTCGTTCCTAAAAATGTGAAATGATGCTGACACGGGGGATGATGACAAGTAGTGCGTCCGTAGTAGTGTCTATCGTAGTACCTTCCTAGTGAGTCTATCATGTTTAAGTTTGAACATTCGGTAGTTCGTAATGTCAAAATATGCAATGACCATGTTTATTTGGGTGTCCCATTTTACATCATATGCTACGGCAGAAAAATTCTACTGCTCTAAAACCTTCTCTCTCCTGCCCTAATTTTTTTTGACCGCCCTATTTTGCATCATCGGTTCGAATGGTCTAAATAGGCCGCAGCCTCTACAGTCTCAGACCTCTGCTCGCCTGCTCCTACAAGAGTTTCTTCTTCTTTTATGCATCTCCTCCTACTAGAGTTTTCTTCTTCTTTTATTCTTCTCCTCCTACGAGCAGCGGGGGCCTTTTCACTTTCAAGGTTAAACTACAATTGGCATTCGAAAAAAGGTACTCCCTCCCATCCAAAATAACTGACACAGTTTTGAACTGGGGTTTGTTCAAAACTGCCACAATTTTTTTTTTTGAAAACTGCCCCACTTATTATGGATCGGAGTTAGTACTATATTTCTTGCAACAGGACATAAATGGAGGAGAAAAGAATATCAATATGTATTTCAAGACAGAACCTCAGGATACAATCTGTAGATCTCAAATGGGGTGTATAGCTTTACACCTTGTCAAACTTAGTGCTCCTAGCATTAGTTCTGCAAACCTTTATGTGTGTAATCTGATCAACGACAAGGAGGAGAGCTCCATCTTCCAATCTCCCTATTACAGTACTTCCCAGCGTACCTGCATTAGTTCTTATATTTCTTACACGGGTACATTGCTATGGACTTTTGTGTCCAAAGTCTGCTTTTTCTAAAGTTTTGTTTGTAAGAACAACGTTGATGGAATGGGTCCATTGCTGGCTTTGTTGCCAACTTGCCATCAGCGTAGCCATGCTGCCCATGCACGCGTACAAATGTACAACAGCGCGCGCGCCTGCTGGGTGCAGCCGTCCGGCCACGGCGAAGCGCCCATCAGTTCCCGCCGCCGCAGCGCGCCGGGCAGGACGACGGCACGCCGACCCACGGCTCCCCGATCCTCGTCATCTTCATCGACCGCTCGCTGGCCGCCGCCTCGTCGCACCGGCCCCTCTTCCTCGCCGACGCGTCCTTGAGGATCACGCCGAACAGCTTCACCTTCTTCTCGCAGCAGTGCTCTTGGTCCGCCGAGCGGGCGCCGCCGGCCCCGGCCGCGCCTTGCATGTCTCCGTCCATCAGCAGGCGCAGGTCCAGCTGGCGGACGTCCAGGAAGCGGGAGAGGAAGCCCAGGAGCTCCTCGCAGTGCCGCCGCGCCAGGGCCAGCTCCGCTGCCAGCGCGTGGTTGTCCTTCCTGAGCTGCTCGTTCTCGCTGCTGAGATCCGGGCGCGTCGGCGAGGACGCCGAGGAGGAGCTGTGGTCGTTGCCGGTGCCGGACGTGCTGGCAGACGCGGGACGCAGAGCAGGCAGCGGCGGAGGGAACGCGACGTTTACGCCGGTTCCGCTGGTTTTAGAGGACTGGGGAGTCGTCGTCGTCGCCGTGGCCTTGCGGCGACGGATGCCGGAGAGGAGGCCTTGCTCGCCTCGCCGGAAGTTCTCGTTTGCGAACTCCCACCGGTCCGGCACCACCTTCCGAAAACCCTGCATATAGTTTACACCGGTTTGGTCAGTATCCGACGCGGAACATTGTCGTACATGTGTCGATCAAGAAACATTTCCAAACGTTTTCCTTCTTTGTTTCCAAACATTTTCAAAAGAGAATCATTAAACAAAATATTTCATTAGTCCCACATATTTCACTTTAGCAAAACTGTACTATTTACTACATTGAGCGACATCGCATATGTCATCTACTGTCCGTTGGGAGTAAACATCATATCCACCTGGAGTATAATTACTAGCTCATTAGCGAGCCTTCTTTTTGTTAATTTTGGTTCACTGATTCCTATCAGACTGGGGCGCATCTTCAATTTATATCTTACTCATCGGGCATTATCATATGAAATTATATTCAAATGGGATAAGCATATTTTTGGTCCCTGAATTCTTGAGAAAGTGAGAAATCATCCATCAACTCCAATACTACCAAAACTCAATCCCTCAACTAATAAAACCGGATAAGTTTCGGCCCAATAACTTGGTTTGTGCGTGACATGTACCCGGTATTGACTAATATTGGCCACGGTGGCCTGGTTTTGACCGCCACATCACTTAAGTGGCTAAGGGCACCTATATCTTTTTTGGCTTTGGATTTGGCGGACGTTATCTAAACTTTTGTGAGAGTAGAGGGACGAAAAATATACTTACCCATATTCAAATGCATGCTTTGACCAACAGTTAGTCTAAATATATAGTTTATGTTGCACAAAATAGATATCATTAGATTCGTAATAAAATGCACTTGTGTATGATCTATGATTTTGTAGCCATTGACTACATATTATAGGAGGGATTTATAGTCAAAGCATGAATTCAACAGTCAAACTATGCGGCATGTCTAGAAACAAAAGCAGTATATAAAAAAAATGTAATTTAGTAATGTAACACATTAAGCGAGAGCAATAAACAACATGCGATTCTTTCTGTTTATCTTCTTTTAGTCGGGAGAGCTGGCTGAATTTTCGTGTGGGTGAAGCATGGTATTCTAAAAACATAAGAAAACAAAAAAAATGGAACTTTATCACTTACTGAATCGTACAGCAAAGAGCAAACTAACACGATATTCTTTCGGACAACCTCTTCGTATGCAACTTTGACTATGTTTCAGGAAAAAATATTTAGCCCTTTTGACCATTATATTCTGGATGATAAAAAAATTGACCGTGCTTTCTGAAGCATTGTCCACTTTTGAAATAAAGTAACTTCACAAAAAATCTGATGCTAGCGACCTCCTTTTCCGTAGGATTTCCAAATCGATGTGCACATTCAAAAAATATGGATAGTTAAAGGGCCACTTTTGTTTGATTTTTTTTCTCCAAGAATTCATTCGTTATATGACTTTCTAGTAGACACTTTTCATTGAAGTTTTTTTTCACCACGGAGAGATCAATATATCTTGATGTGTATGTTATGAATGTGCATTGTATAAGTGTATCTCATGAATTTTAATTATCCTGCATGTACGTGCGTGCGTGCGTGCGTGTGTGAAGAACCTATATATATTTTTAACCTTTATAATAAATCCGAGTCCTTTTAGTAAAAATAAATAAAAGAAGCTGAGTGGTTTCTAGAAGAGGACACAAAAATATCCGGTCGAAAGTTCCACCAAGCTTCCAGCCCCCGCGTAATCACAAACGAGGACACACTAAATTGAAACCTCAACCTCGTGGGGTGTCAAACAGTGATGGGCAAGCACTAAATTTGCTTTCGTGAAACCTGTTGGCCTCCATCTCTAGCGTGGTGCCGCGTCCGTCCCTCCGTCCTTTCGGTTATTTGCACACTAATGGTATCGGTGACCGTCACGTCCAAATAACCGGCCACATTTTGTCAAAAGGAAAAGGCGAGGGCGACATCACCACTCAGCACTAGTCACGTTTTTTCACCCCCACCTCGAAGTTGCACTGTCTTTTCTCTCTATTTTCCAAGCAGCTACTGTCCATTTTTTTTTATTTGCGTTAATGTCCAAGCGTGTGAAACTGAAATGGTTTATTAACTCGCAGACGGCACGCATAGCTAGTTTTGTTGTCACCTACCCCATCAATGGTCAGCACAAAGAGGCTTTTTTATATACTCCCTCCGTCCGGAAATATTTATCATTAAAATGGATGTACCTAGAACTAAAATACATCTAGATATATCCATTTTAATGACAAGTATTTCTGGACGGAGGGAGTATATATCGCTGCATGACACGACAAGTGAAACGCTTTGCTCGTTTTCTACGTTTTAGGTCGACCAGAAAGGCTCTTTGGGCGTCATCTTTCCTCCATATTGTTCCAACAAACGGCCTACCAGTAGCCTTTTTTGATATGTCACCTTCTTCCATGTACTTCTTCTGCACTACTAGTAGTCGGTAATATCCAGATTTGTCCGTCCAACAAACATCGGTATATGTAATTAGCTAGCTCGAGATGTTTCACCCGTTCGCTGTGCCCAAAGTCCAGACGCGCTTTTGAACAGAGACCCTGCCGCGAACACTGGCACATGAGTGGATCCATACTAGGACGTGTACGGCCGAGACAGCAGAATGAACTCCCAACCAGAAACATCCTTACGTGCATGTCACGTGTCTTGCCTCGGTCTCGGTGACGGTAGTTCTTAGTTCTTATTACTACCACCAGCGACTACGCTTAATTCCTCGCCGGAAAAGAATCCACCGGCTGTGTGCTCAGTCTGTACCACTGTGGTTTTAATTCTTACTCCCAATACTCCCTCTGTTTCAAATTTGAACTAAAACCACGACGAGTAATTTGGAACGGAGGGAGTAGCATGCTACGTAGCGTGAGTACGCACTAGTATGTCGTGGGGAGAACAAAAGCGAGAAGGACGGAGAGCTTTCCGTGGACACGTCAGGGGCGTGTCCGGAAGCTGCCGAGCGTATCTCAGCATAATAATCTCTTCTGGTACAAGCTACTAGGATATGGATCCATCACTTGCATCCCTAATCTCTAATCACTCTAAGAGGACGAACGAGATGCTTCTTTTTTTTTCAGATAATAATAAAAACCAAACAAGAACGGATACTCTACTCAAGTCGCAAGTCGTTGATCAGTGCAGATGGGAGTGATTAATTTAGTGAAGGCAGAGCTAGAGTATTGCAAAGAGAGAGTGTGTCTGGAGGAGGGTAGTACGTACGTAGGTGTTGAGCTGGCGGACGAAGGAGGAGAAGTTGCAGTGCTTGAAGTGGAGCGGCAGGAGGTCGCGGGCGAGCTCCACCGGCTTCCACACCACGAACGACCGCCCTTGCTCGCCCCACGAGATCACCTCGTCCGTCCCGCGCTCCTCCACCATCTGGTGCGTCTTGGTCAGGAACGGCGCCGGCCCTCCGCCGCCGACCCTCACCGCACCACCACCCTTCTGCTGCTGCTGCTGCGCCGCCGCCCCGGCCATCGTCGCCGGCTTAATCACCTAACAGATTCCTCTACCTAATAATAAGCTGGTGTATGTATCTATGTATATATGATCAGTCAAGGATCGATCGAGAAGCAGAGGCGGCTAGCAGGAGACGGCGGCGGAGAAGAGGAGGAGCGCGGTGAGGAACTCCCAGCCCCAGACGTAGAACCCGGTGACCAGGCCGCGGCCTCCTCCCATGTAACCGGCACGGTGGTGTGTGCGGCTTTCAGCTGGGTTTGTCTGTGGTTGCCGCGACGGCTCTCCTCTCTACTCCTACCTCCGCTAGCCTCGCCTGCCGGAGATATAAAGGCCGGAGCGAGAGACAGAGCGCGAGCGCGAGCGAGAGCGGCGGTTGCTTTCGGGGCTCTGGTTTCACTGCGTGCTCGGCCCCGGCCGGTCCAAATAAGAAGCTTCCCCTGCCTTCCCTAGAGCCGTGGCCGCGGCGCGCTCCGCCGTGCTCCGTGGACAGCTCCCACTGTGGACCAGGACGAGACTCGCGGCCACGTGGCAGGTGCGTCCATGGTGCACGGTGGGACGTGTGCATGGAGGCGCTGGGGTGGGGAGGGGCGAATTGGGTGTCCTTTCGTCAACGCACCTGGGCCGCTTCCAATGCTTCGAGAAATGTCGGGACCGGAATTTCCTCTCCCTTCCCTTATCTTTCGTTTTTTTTCTTCGTCAGAGCAAAAGCGAGCCAGAGAGGCGCTCGTGGAAAAGCGACGCGTCGAAAGCGGATTTTCGCGATTCGGTGGCGGCTTCGCCCGCTGCATCCGTCCATCGCCTCGCCGATCGGCTTGTCCTCTTCCTCCTCTCGCTCTCCCGCCACCTGTATGTATGTAGCACTATCCTTCTAGTCTTAACTGAACTTTATTTAATCCCAACGCCGCACGACGGAAAACGGCGCCACAAGCACAAACATAAACGAGTCTACGCTTCTGTTTCTGGACCCATCTCTCGGCTACAGGGGGCTAGTTCCTGGAAGATTCAGTCGGCCACTGTCTCTGAATACAGGCGAGAGAGAGTATTGGACGGATCATCAAGTGCAGAAGCCGCTGCTGCTTTCGTTGTTATATGGAACGAAATGACGTGACGCTGATTAATAAGGAGGCGCCGTCAATCAACGCCCTGATCGTTCAGATTTGTTTGTCGAAAATTAGACCACTAAATAAGGGTTTCTGGGGCCGTGAAATGGCATTCGGCACGTCGGTCTCGCAGCAGGACAGCAAGTCCTATTGCACCAACCCCGGGGAGGCAGAGGGGTTGCCATCGCCCTTTGAACCGGGAACTAGGAAGAAGATTCCATGACCAACCAGTGCAGCAGTACCACGGTTAGTATACTCCTCCGTTCCAAAAGTCACATCCCCCGTGGAAGAAATTGACCTGCGACTGGATCATCAGACCGGCCCGGTTGCGCCGCACCGCACCAAGAAACAGGCGCGCGGGTAGACCGGTCCCGCCCGGGCTGGCACGGATCGTGTGGCGTGCGGACGGTGGCTGGCCGTGTTTGTCTTCGCGGGGGTTGGTCGCTTGTCAGACTCGGCGATCGCCCGCCTCACCAACTGAAACGGAACAAAAAGGCCAAAGGCGACGGCGGTGTGGAGCCGTGGGGAGGACGAGCGGGAAAGGTTCCTTGCTGACCGGCGATGCGTGATACTAGAATGCTTGACTTTGGGTGCCCAATCCGCAAAACTTCCCCGCTCGGTTACATACGGACTACGTGATGATGGGGTTTGGGTTGGTTGCTTCGTTTGTTGTAGACTTGTACTAGCATTTGTAGGTGGACTGACTTCATGGGCAGGGGGAAAAGATTTCTCTCTCTGAAAATTAGCGGAAGAGCTGCTAAGGTTTCATTGTTGGGGTAAGAAGCCAATAGCTGAGCACAACTGTGAAAGCTCACTGGGGGGTCTTCTAAGAGCATCTACCGCTGGACATAGCAAACATGACCCCCTAAAGGCCCGCGGACACGCCCGGTCAATGACCGAACGTATCCGTTTTAAGCCCCTATTTATCTGTCCGCGTAGCCACAATTCTTTTTTTTTTCATATGTCCGGTCACTTGCATGTGATTGATGAAGATGGAGAGAGAGAAAGGAAATAATGAATAAAGAAATACTCCATGACCATTATCAATTACAATGGTATCTTTTGGAAACACCTTCTTCACTGCATCAATCTCTGTTAAAAAAAATACTCCATGGATTCCGGTAAAAAGGCTGCAATTGGACTGAAGCAACGACATTGTCACTCTTTCACCCGAATGACCATTATCAATAATGGTTTTTGAAAGCACCTTGAGTCGCCCATCAAAAAGATGGGATTGCTTGATCGGTCTACCTACTCGGGCCGGGGATGATCCCCTAGAAGTGCAGGACATCGGATCACAAAGTCTTCACCATGATGATGATGAAACACTTCAACTTCACCGAATAAAACCAACAGAAAAAGTCTGACACACCAACCTAAACTCATCAGATTCGAATAATCGAATCTGCAAGGGCAAAAAACTCCCTAACCTCATGGCATCGTCGAAAGAACGAGACTAAATTTATTCTCATAAAATACGATGATCACTAGAAGATGACGAAGACCATAGTACTCTGTAGATGCGAGGTCCCCCCACCTCTAGGCGCCAAGATAAGTGTACGTGAAATGATGCCCCCAACACTTTCCAATGTGGATTCCCTCTTGATAGTATGGGTTCCCTACGACCAAAAGAGATAAAAACATGTAGAAAACACCGTCTTCGATCTTTTTCTTTCAGAGAGAATAGCTAACCAAAGAAGGCCTAAATACCGAAACCTGGAACACTTAGCACAAGATTAGACCAACAAAGGGTTGTCATCATCATGCAAAACACAAAGTAGGGAAATTTCCTTACATATGGGCGTCCACCCGACGGCCGTGACGGTGGTTTAAGGTGGTAAGGCCTCCCACCAATCTGCTAGTGTCGTTTGGCACTGGCGTGGAGTACCGACGAAGGTGGCTATCGAATGATCTGTCATCAAGATGTTGATTGGAACACTGCTTCATGTCCGGGGTGAAAACTCTTGTCCTAACCATTATTGGTTGGGCTCAACAGCGACGAGTGTATACCTTCTTGAAGGCACTTCTACGGAAGAAGTTGACTTAGTCGTAGGTGTTAATTTCATATCTTGTAATGGTTCAACCATGATTGCCTTCGTTTTGTACGCTGCTGAATAATTAATAAAAATGGTTGTATGCATCGCATTGATGCAGAGGCCGGGGGTTTTAATCTCCTTCTCAAAAAAAATTGTCGTAGCCGTACAAGAGCACTGCCTCTAGTGGTGTTCACACGTGCAGGTAGGAACAATGGGCAATCAACTGCTAGGTAAATCCACCGGCAGGCTAGGGGAGTGGAGGTCGCAACACATGCAAACCCTACCCGACGCAACCGCGGTCAACCTATCATGGGTGGGGATATATCTGGTGCACCGGGGCAATTTGTGCTACCGGTGCACCGGTAGTCTGTTGCACATTAAAAAATGTTCGAAAAAATCCGAAAAATAGTGCATTGACACAACATTAACTTGCATTGTCACAAAAATTTAAATCAATATTACAAACATTGCTCGAGATACAAAAATAGCAAATTTGACACTGAATAGTACATAACACATGTTGGGCCTCAGTTTTGGCCCATTAGCACATTGACGTCAAATTTGTCATTTTTGTATCTTGAGCATTGTTTTGAATTTTGATTTGAATTTTTGTGACAACATACATTGATGTAGTGTTGATACATTGATATTTTTTCCAGATTTGTTTGAACATTTTTGAATGTGCAATCGGGTCCGATGCACCAGTAGCACCAATTGCCTTGATGCACCAGATACATTCCCTATCATGGATAGTATACCTCCGATTATATAGACATCAATCATAGGCTCCCCACATGAGGCCCATTAGGAATCCAAAACTCAAAGTCTGCTTAGGCCAAGATCCAAGTTCTAGTCAGATCATGTCCGACCAACAAAGTCGGATACAACTGAGGTTCCTTACATTAAGTGTGTGACCCTTTACGTTCACGTACACTTGGTCACAATTTGGATCCACATCCGGCTCGGACAGTCGGTAGTGGCCCCTAGTAAACGTGTCGAATCCAAGTGCCCAATGAAGGCAGTCTAGCGAACGTGTACAATGTGTCCTATCCGCTTTCTTTCTGCCTCACGATATATGTGAAGGAAATATGCCCTAGAGGCAATAATAAAGTTATTATTTATTTTCTTATATCATGATAAATGTTTATTATTCATGCTAGAATTGTATTAACCGGAAACATGATACATGTGCGAATACATAGACAAACAGAGTGTCACTAGTATGCCTCTACTTAACTAGCTCGTTGATCAAAGATGGTTAAGTTTCCTAACCATAGACATGAGTTGTCATTTGATTAACAGGATCACATCATTAGGAGAATGATATGATTGACATGACCCATTTTGTTAGCTTAGCACACGGTCGTTTAGTATGTTGCTATTGCTTTCTTCATGACTTATACATGTTCCTATGACTATGAGATTATGCAACTCCCGTTTACCAAAGGAACACTTTGTGTGCTACCAAACGTCACAACGTAACTGGGTTATTATAAAGGTGCTCTACAGGTGTCTCCGAAGGTACTTGTTGGGTTGGCGTATTTCGAGATTAGGATTTGTCACTTCGATTGTTGGAGAGGTATCTCTGGGCCCTCTCGGTAATGCACATCACTTAAGCCTTGCAAGCATTGCAACTAATGAGTTAGTTGTGGGATGATGTATTACAGAATGAGTAAAGAGACTTGTCGGTAATGAGATTGAACTGGGTATTGAGATACCAACGATCGAATCTCGGGCAAGTAACATACCGATGACAAAGGGAACAACGTATGTTGTTATGCGGTTTGACCGATAAAGATCTTCGTAGAATATGTAGGAGCCAATATGAGCATCCAGGTTCCGCTATTGGTTATTGACCGGAGACGTGTCTCGGTCATGTCTA